TAGTGGCAGACTATTTAGAGGAGCGTACTGTCGAGTACGAAGACCGAGCTGGTAATCTGAGGTGTCGGCCCATGTCGTGCGGTGTTCCACAGGGGTCTGTTCTTGGACCCCTCCTGTGGAACATAGGGTACGACTGGGCCCTTCGAGTGGAGTTTCCCCCTGGGCTGGGTGTAATTTGTTACGCCGATGATACATTGGTCACAGCCCGGTTGGCGAACTTTCAAGAGGTGGCGCGCTTGGCCACCAGGGGAATCTTTCTGGTGGTCGGGCGAATTGAGGCGCTGGGCTTACGGCCCTGGATAAGACGGAGGCCTTCTTATTCCATGGGCCCCGTCGTGGTCCACCACAATCGTGGTCAATTCGGTCCTCGCACCGGTTCGGGCCCAGATGAAACATCTGGGCCTGATCCTTGACGGGAGGTGGCTCTTCGACAAGCACTTCCGACAGCTTGCTCCAAAGCTGGTCGACGCTGCGTCTGCCCTTGGGCGACTTCTACCCAATCTGGGTGGACCCAGCGTCGCAACGAGACGGCTGTACACGGGGGTTGTCCGGTCAATGGCTGTATGGTGCACCGGTGTGGGCGGCGGCTCTGACCGCTCAGAATAGGGCACGGCTCTGCCGACCTCAGAGGATATTGGCGGTTAGAGCCATACGCGGTTACCGCACCGTTTCGGCGGAAGCGGCGTGCGCGTTGGCCGGTACTCCCCCGTGGGACTTGGAGGCGGAAGTGCTCGCCGAAGTATATCGGCGGACGGCTGGTTTCCGGGCGGATAGTGGCAGTCGGCCCCCGCCCGAAGAGATAAGCGAATGGCGTGAGGCCGCTCGCTGAGCCACGATGGCTCGTTGGTCGTCCTGGCTGGAGGCTCCACGTGCTGGCTTTGCCGCCGTGGAGGCGCTCCAGCCGGTCATCGACGAGTGAGCAGGGCGGCAGCACGGGACCCTTTCCTTCCGGCTGAGGCAGGTCCTTTCCGGGCATGGCTGCTTCGGGAAGTACCTGCACTCGGTCGCTAGGAGGAAATTGAGTCCCGCCTGTCACCACTGCGATTGCAGTGAGGACTCGGCTCAGCACACGCTGGCAATTTGCCCGGCTTGGGCGCCGCAGCGCCGGGTCCTCATTGCAGTCATCGGGGGGGATCTCTCGCTACCGGCCGTCATACGCTCCATGGCCGGTAGCGACAGATGTTTTACCGCGGTCGCATCCTTCTGCGAAGACGTCATCTCGCAGAAGGAGGCGGCGGAGAGGGCCTGGGAGGACAGCCTCCACTCGGACCCAATCCGTCGCCGGCGAACCGGGCGGCGGAGGCGCGCTTATCAAAGCCTCATGCCGCCCTGAGTGTGGCTGCGGGTGGACTTGACGGGTTTTCCCCTGCACCTGCCATAACGGCCAGCCGCGAGGAGGCGACGTCCGCGTGTGCCGGACGTCGCCTAAATAGAGAATGTACCTGAAGGTGGTGCCCGCATCGTTGTGGGCAGGCGCTAGGAGGGGTCCGGAGGTCCTAATAACAGCAGTTCCCGGATCCCTCCTATTACAGGCGCAGAGTGGCACATCGTGTGGTTTTAGTCGGTCCGATTCCGACACATCACCCCGCCGTAAACCCCGGTGGGGTGACGGCCCGAGGGGGTTTCCACACGTTAAAAAAAAAAAAGGTAATTTAATTTTTGACATAAAATTTTGACTAATCAATGAAGTAATGTAATAATCTTTTCAAATATTAATATTTTTATTTATTTTTAAGTAAATTGTGATTAATGATATGATGTAATGAATTATTGTTTTTGTATATGGAACAAGTTTTCTGAAATAAATAATATTATTATTATTATAAATAATAAAGGTTTAGATATTAAGTTAATAGATTTCAGACTAAAGTACTCCTGTCGCAACACCTTCTTCTGCCCCTTCTGGACTATGCTGATGTCTCTTTTCTCGACGCTACCGAAGAACTCTGGGATAAGCTAGAACGGTTGCAAACTCTATAGAGGGAGAGGGGGGGGAGTCACTATCAGACTAAAGAGAGATACAAAATGGCTACCTAGCGAAAACAAAACACATCTAGAGCGTATAGTTTTTTGTAAGTGTGGATGGCCCCGTCGCACGGTGGGCTGAAAATCGGCTTGCATAGATATAGGGATTTCAATTTGCAAGTGCCGGTTTTTTTATCAAATATCGCTTCTATTAGTTATTACTATATAGGAAAATGATACCCGAGTTAATTCTGCGCAAAGACGCAGGAATTAGAATTTTTTGAAGGAAGCTAGTATGAAAAATCTAATTATCTCTTAAATGGCAGAGAAAACCGTAATGTCCTCACAGGTGGTTTTAGTACTAATCATTTTTGATTTTTTGGGACACTCCAAATGACGGTTATCGCTGCTGATTTTTTTTTTAAATCATCAAAATATTTTTACACATGAAACGGTTACTTTTAGTGTTTAAGTTAAAGAAGACAGACTTCTAACAACGTATAACATAAAATAGCATCACCCCATACATCCTCGAAGTAGCAGGCAGAGGTTTATACTATACCAACACTTAGATAACTATGTTTGAGCTAGATATTTATGAACACAAAATGAGTTTTGAAACTTAGCATACAACCAAAACCCCAAATAAAAACGGCTTAGTCTTCTAATGAGTCTAAATAGGTGATTAAATGTTTGCAATTAAATATTTGCAATATCGCGCAACAAATTTTGACTGCACGGATGGCGTAGTGGTTTAAGTGGTCGCCACGCCGCTTCCTACTACGCCGAGTGTTGTGGGTTCAAACCCCACATGGGACGACACTTTGTGTGATCCACAAATTGTTGTTCCAAGTCTGGGTGTTATTTGTGTCCGTTTCATGTATGTTTGCAAAGTCCCCCGCGACACAGGATATTTTCCTAATGCGGGAGTTGTCTTTTTTAAAAAAAAAAATAAAAAAAAAATGCTAACTACAACAATGCAAACAACAAATAAGGAATGCAAAGTCGTTTAGTTTTTTTTTAAAGTTTGTCAAGAAACATGTCCTCCAAAATATCTCCCCTCCAAAAATAACTACCTATAATTTAAAATCAGTATAAACTTATTATGTATTTTAAACAAATAACGAACACTTAATCAAAATCATATTTTAATACCACTATTACGACTTTGTAAAATAAAGCTGTACTACTGTGTTCTAACCTGTATAGTGACCACGACATCAACGAGTATGTGAGGGTATACTTATATTCGTGTCTCTGGTCGTGGATATTTTGAGTACCCACATAAATTAATTAGTATCAAAACGTTAATAAAACCGTCCAAATTGTGAACTGTTTAACAAAAATAATGTAATATTTAAATGTTCGAGTGATGAATGAAGTGTATATCAGTGTGTCAAGTGAAAATATATTCTCAAGTAAGTAAAATGTAAAGGGGAATGCCCATTTTCGGCCATGAATCGCCCAACAATTTGCTTTTGTTAGAAAAAACCATCTTATTTTCTATTTATTAATTGGGGTATTCATTTATCCTGACAGGTCTGCAACATTTAAACAGAAAATAAAAGTACCGAAAAGATAAAAGTGAAATTACGTTAATCCGTATTTCATTGGTTTCTGGCAAAATATTAAGTGTTCCCAATTACTAATTTCGTTCAAAAAATCGATTATTTATGATGTCGGCTGTGTTTGGCAGAAAATAGCGCTAGGAAGCGCTTGTAAGCAAAATGGCGATCGCTAAGCGGAAAGCGCTGTCAAATGACACATATATTTTACTATTTTTTGGACTGACATTATTATTTATTTTAATATTACTTGAAACTAATTGCACAAAACATCTTATAAATTCTACTTTTAAAACAAACAAAATAAATAAGCAAAATGGCGGTTTGTGTCAGCGCTACTGAAGTTAGCACACGTGTCCTGGCCGAAAACTGTGTCAGCGCTAGTTATATTTTTTGCCAAACACAGCCATTATTTTATAGCTATATTATTCGATTTTCGGTAATTATTATGATTTCATTATGTTAGTGCTAATATTATTTATTTATTTATTTTAATACAGCTAGGGCAGACTTTAGAAATATAAACGTAGGCTCCGAAAATGTTAGGGAATTTTCTATTTTAACTTACAGCGACTTGTACTAATTGTTTGTGGTACATACCAATTAAAGCAAGCTCGCTCCTATTATGGTGAGCATATAAGAGCTAATGGTTGCTACCACATAGAAATATGCAATGACCATAGGAGCAGCATTATGGAAGGAATACACCTTAGTCCTAACTGCTCTTTACTTAGGGCTAGAATCGCAAGTCGACATATCGTATATATTTTAATTAGTGGCAATGATTCTGGCAGAAGTGCAATTAAAAAGCATTGTTGTAACTGTATTGTTGGCCGTCGAACGGTAGGATGTTGTGCCCATATAATGACAGTAATATGGTATTTGGGTTGGGCACGACATCAAACAAATATTTTTCCTCCGGCTCAATTCCTGGATGATGTACTAATTGTGTATGACACAAACGAAATATGATTATAAAATACCTAACAACTACATATAACTTGATATTGTATGTGAGAATAACAATAAAATGATGAATAAGAAAAAAAAACTGTACTTATTTCTGAAAATTAAAATCATTTTATATCTTAAAAATCCCGACTTTTTTTAATACCAATTCCTTAATCATTTCATTCTTTAAATTGTATATTATCATTTCTATATGTGTGTATATATGTGTGCACCTAGGGCCAAAGTGTCTATAGGTAGTGGGCATTCCCCTTTCTGTTTGAAAGAAATAAATTCTTTACCCACAACTGTTTACTACATTGGTTGTGCTATGAGTTCTAAGAAATATTTTAAACGATTATGAATATCTTCATTGCATCTTTTGAAACTCTAATGAGGGTAATTAACTAATAACCGACGTTTTGCAATAAAAGGGCTGAAACTTGGCTTTATTATTTAAATTGTTCACAATTGTGTAACTGCTAAAACTAAATCTTTACTCTGCAACTATAAAATCTTAGAATGGAAAGTTTAATCACCAATTTAGACTTGTTTGTTCTTTTAAAAAGTGAGAGTACTTCATTTAATCACGAAGTATTGTTTAGTGCTGTTGTATCCCGCATAGGCAATAACCTTTCTGCTGAAGATCGAGTAACTCTCAAAGAATTTTGTCGGATATTCACGCGAGCTGCTTTACAGAGGTGGCAGAAATCCAACCGATTCCTTGATCGATTCAGAAGATTGTACGAAAATTGGCTGCAAGCAAATATGGATTGGCCAAGTTGTGTGCAATCTTTAGTTAATCAACAACCAACTGTTGATGAGATACCTAGAGCACACTCAGTCTCTCAAGAACCGTCGACATCATCATCCGTTGGTACAATGACTAAAAAGTCCCGAAAACTATTCGAAGATCTGGGAAGCATACAGAAAAAGAGAAGATCTGATGATCTTATAGGCAAAGATTCCAGTGAATTGGCATATACAGCTGCAGCACGTTTAGAAAAAGAAGGGCATGAGGATATCGCATCTGTGATCGAATATATTGTGGCGAGTACAAATATTTTAGAATTGAACCTTTCACAATACCGAGTTGCAGCGAATCGCTCCGCCTATGAAGATTGGACCAGCGACCAAGCGTTGGAGGGCACAGCGGCGCAGGCGCTTCTAGATCATTCGGGCCTTGCTCTTGCCGCATGTGCTGATAGCTTTGACCATTTATACTTATTACTTGTAATTTTTAGTGTAGTAAAGCTTTTAGAATCTCGATAATCAATTCATTTTGGCCTTTGTCATTTTTATTTCATTCTCACCCAACATTCATTATTATCATTCTAATATCCTAATCAATTGCTAAATAATATTCATTTCTTCGCGTTGCTTACGAAGCTTCGAGCCTTATACCCGTGCAGTGGAATTATACCGGCCTGATATAATTCTACATTGGTGACCCCGATTACAAGAATATGCAAGATACGGAGTGACGACGAAATATTTGCGGATTCACGAACAGCAGAAAAGAATAATTTAAACAGGTTGGAACTAAAGAGCGAGTGTAGTGAGCCATAAACGGTGAGCGTTTTTAATTTTTATTATGTCGGATATGGAGAACTATAGTGATGCCGATGGCAAAGGTGATATTCCTAATATTTCGGGAGCTGTGTCGAGAGTAGGGTTACTGTTACGATGCCCGAAATTTTGTCCGGAAGAACCAGCTCTTTGGTTTGCACAGTTAGAAGGGCAGTTTATACTATCTAGAATAACTAGTGACGCGACAAAATTTTATTTCGTCACACGCCACAAGTAGCAAGCGCGGCTACAACTAGCACTAGTACCATCAACGACGACTTAATCAAGCAAGTCAGTGAACTAAGTAAGCAGGTTGCCCAACAGAGATGTAAACCGTTCATGTCCACGCTCACGCTCACAGTCCCGCAACAAGAGGTATGATTCTTTTAATAAACATGGACCGCAGCAACCGCCACTGAATCACCCACATTGTTTCTACCACTACACTTACGGTGAAAAGGCAAACAAGTGGAGGCAGCCCTGCACATTTACGTCGGAAAACTGCATGGGCGGTCGCAAGTAGCGGCCAACGACTGCCTAGTACTCACAGGCCGTCTATTTGTAACTGACCGGACATCGAAAATGCAGTTCCTGGTGGACACTGGCTCTGACTTGTGTTTTCCCCCGGTCGGCTGTAAAGACGCCCTGCTGTCGTTCGAAGTACAACTTAGTAGCTGCAAATAACACTACGATCCACACTTATGGCCCTATATCACTACGCCTCGATTTAGGACTAAGGCGAGATTACGTTTGGAATTTTACCATAGCTGATGTGGCAAAACCAATAATTGGAGTCGATTTCCTCATCAACTATAATTTACTTATAGACTGTAGAAATCAACGCCTAATCGACAACATGCCATCACTTTCAGTCGCTGCGGTACACAACACCTCAAACGAAGAGATTGTTGCTGTTAAGGCTGTGGTGGGCAACACAGATTACCACGAGCTTCTCCGTGAGTACCCTGAGATAACACGACCTCCAGGCAAACATGTTACGGGTAAGCACAACACTCTTCATTATATTCGAACGACACCAGGTCCACCGGTCTCTAGCAAACCCCGACGGCTAGACCCAGCTCGAACAATGGCAGCCAAGAAGGAATTTGAGGAGATGCTTGCGTGCGGTGTAGCTAGGCGTTCAGAGAGTACATGGTCAGCTCCCTTGCACCTTGTAAAGAAAAAGGACGACGGATGGAGACCTTGCGGTGACTACAGAGCCTTGAACGCAAGAACGGTACCGGACAGATACCCCATCCGACACATACACGATTTTTCTTACCAACTTTCGGGATGTACCATATTTTCAACTATAGACCTTGTAAAAGCTTTTAACCAAATTAAATTAAACCATTACGATATATACAAAACAGCGATTACTACACCCTTCGGCCTTTATGAGTTTTCGTTTATGACACTTAGTTTACGTAATGCTGCACAAACCTTCCAAAGATTTATCGATGAAGTCCTTCTAGGTCTAGATTTCTGCTACGGATTCGTCGATGATATTTTACTGTTTTCCCCCTCCCCAGAAATACATAAATTGCACCTACGACAGCTGTTCGACCGCCTGAGAAGCTACGGCATCGTTGTCAATACTTCCAAGTGCAAGTTCGGCCAGCCAGAGGTAGAGTTCTTGGGCTATAGCGTCTCAGCTAAAGGTACGAAACCTCTTGCATCTAAGATTCAGGCTATTCAAGACTATCCTTTTCCAAAGACTGTCAAAGAGCTGCGTCGATTTCTGGGGATGGTAAACTTTTACCGACGGTTTGTACCTAAGGCTGCCCACCTCCAAGCTCCTTTAAATGCTGTCTTAGCAGGCCCAAAAGTTAAAGGATCTCAACCAGTTTTTCGTGCCCCACAGCTGTTAAAGGCTTTCGAGGACTGTAAAACTGCACTATCGAGTGCTGCATTATTGGCTCACCCCGATACATTAGCTGAACTGGCGACCGTTACCGATGCATCTGAGTCATCGATTGGAGCTGCACTTCAATAGGGAAAAGGTGATGCATGGCAACCACTTGCCTTCTATTCGCACAAATTCAACATCGCCCAGAGAAAATACAGCCCCTATGACCGTCATCAAGTATTTCCGGCATATGGTGGAGGCAAGAACCTTTGTAATATTTACGGACCACAAGCCACTGACCTTTGCTTTCAAATCTAACCGGGATAACTGCTCACCCAGGCAGTTTAGGTATTTAGATTTTATCGGGCAATTTACAAGTGACATACGGTATGTCCCTGGTAAGGACAACGTCGTGGCGGACGCACTGTCACGAGTGGAGGAAGTTTCGGGTGCTGTTGATTTCAGAGACCTCGCAAGATATCAGGAAACTGATCCAGAACTGCAAGATCTGGTCAAACGTGGCTCAGCACTGCAATTGAAGAAAGTTGATACCCTGTTTGATAACGTCACCGTATATTGCGATGTATCTAAGCCCACACCTCGTCCATACATCACTCCTCAGCTGCGAAGACAGGCCTTCGAATCTCTACATAGCCTGCACCATCCTGGATGTACCGCTACAGCGAGACAAGTGGCACAAAGCTTTGTGTGGCCTGGAATTAGAAAAGATTGCAGAGAGTGGGCTAGACAATGCCTGCAATGCCAGTCAAGCAAAGTATTCCGCCACACGATTTCTCCACTTTCCGCTTACCTGACTCCTTCTCAAAGATTTAGCCATATCCATCTCGACATCGTAGGTCCTTTAACTCCTTCTTTTGATTACAGGTACTGCCTTACTGTGATTGACAGGTTTACCCGGTGGCCCGAAGCATACCCACTGAAAGAAATCACAGCAGAGACCTGCACAGCGGCCCTGGTATCGGCCTGGATAGCTAGGTTTGGCTGTCCGGCGCGCGTGACTACGGACCGCGGCAGACAGTTTGAGAGCCACCTATTTAAGGCCCTCACTGCCTTAGTTGGTGCACGTCATCTTCACACTACTGCTTACCATCCATCTTCCAACGGCATTGTCGAACGACTGCATCGGCAAATCAAGGCGGCGATCATGTGCCATACTTCTTTACAGTGGACTGAATCTCTTCCATTGGTACTACTGGGTATGCGTAACGCATAGAAGGAAGACATTCAAGCTACTCCAGCCGAACTGGTCTATGGAGAAGCCCTGCAACTGCCTGGCCGGTTCCTGCCTTTAAAGGAAGAATACACTGCAGCTGATGTCTCCCAATACGCTTGCCGTCTGCGAGCCTACATGGCTAATCTTACCCCTAAACCAGCTTAATGGCATTCTTTTTCGCCATTTTATATACCCCGAAACCTGCAGTCCTCTTCTCACGTCTTCCTTCGACGTAACCATGTCCGTAGTTCTCTCGAGCCACCTTACGCTGGCCCTTACAAAGTCATACAGAGACACCCAAAATATTTCACAATCAAGGTACATGGGAAGCTCACCAACGTCTCTGTAGATAGACTCAAACCTGCATATCTGATGAGAGAAGATAATACAGCTCCTCATGTGCAACCTACTCCCACTACTGCAAAGCCTGCAACTTCTACGGAGAAGACTACACGAAGTGGAAGACGAGTCAGATTCCCTAATTATTATCGACCGTAGCAACGGTCTGGTCGGGGGAATATGCGGCGAGTACAAATATTTTAGAATTAAACCTTTCACAATACCGAGTTGCAGCGAATCGCTCCGCCTATGAAGATTAAACCAAGCGCTTACACATGCGAACTCGACTTGTTCACGAATGAATGCCCTTGGACGGCGTTGGAGGGCACAGCGGCGCAGGCGCTTCTAGATCATTCGGGCCTCGCTCTTGCCACGCGTGCTGATAGCTTTGACCATTTATACTTATTACTTACTTGTAATTTTTAGTGTAGTAAAGCTTTTAGAATCTTCATAATCAATTCATTTTGGCCTTTGTCATTTTTATTTCATTCTCACCCAACATTCATTATTATCATTCTGATATCCTAATTAATTGCTAAATAATATTCATTTCTTCGCGTTGCTTACGAAGCTTCGAGCCTTATACCCGTGCAGTGGAATTATACCGGCCCGATATAATTCTACAATATAATGAAAAATCCTGAAGCAACCGTTAAAATTATTGAAACGCTTAAAAAACCAGAGAAAACAGATATTTACACCAGAGAAAGCGCTTGGATTGCTTCTTTCATTAAAACTGTAAAAGTGGCAATATATTACGTTGCGAGAGGCTACCATTCGGGCAGGTGCTAAGGATATTTGAGGCGGCGAGTCTCCTGGCCGGAACTCCACCGTGGGACCTGGAGGCGAGAGCCCTTGCGGCTCTGTATCAGTGGCGCAAGGAGGCGCAGGAGTTGGGTCGATGCCCCGAGATTCGAGAAATCGATGACCGGAAATCCCAACTCCGCCAGGTCATCATAGGGGAGTGGAGGGAACGACTCGGGCAACCGAGCGCCGGGCACGCCGTCATTGCGGCGGTAAGACCCGTTATGGAGGATTGGCTCGAGAGGCGTCACGGGACCCTCTCATACCGATTGACGCAGGTGATCACTGGGAAGGGATGTTTCGGAGATCATCTGTGTCTGATCCGCAAGGAGCCAACGCCTGAGTGCCACCACTGCGATGGCCAGACCGTGGACACGGCTCTCCACACGCTGGCAGAGTGCCCGGCGTGGGTTGAGCAGAGGCGAGACCTCGTGGCGGCCATCGGAGTGGGAGTTCTCTCGCTCGATAGCCTGATTGCGGCTATCGTGCGGAGCGAGAGTGCGTGGAACTCTGCCGTCTCCTTCTGCGAGCAAGTTATGCTCGCGAAGGAGACGGCGGAGCGGGACCGGGAGAGATTTAGAACTCTCCCGGCCCGCCAGGCCCGGGCACGGGCCAGGCAACGCAGGCGACTCGGGCGCCGGAGGTCGCAGAACGACCTCCGTCCTCCATAAGCGCAGGCCTGGGGGTGACAGGTGAGGCCATCTGTCACCCTAGCAGAAGCAGGCCGGGGTGGCGGCGAGCGCGTTGCGAAGCGCGCTCGCTTCCAGGGAGTACAGGGAACATGGGGTTCCTACACGGGGCGGGGGTCGTCTACTCGTCTGTAGATGACCCGAGGTAGGTAGGTATATAGGTCGGGGCACCAGGGACTTCCTTTCTAGGGTATACCTGGTTCCCCGGCTATTAGTACCCGGCGACGGCTTGCGGTTTTAGTCGGTTCGAGTCCGACATGCCACCGACAGGTGGTATTCGAGGGGATTTCCGCACGGAAAAAAAAAAAAAAAAAAAAAAAAGGTGCTAAGGATATTTATCCATCCTACTATAAAGTGCAACAAACTAAGCTTGATTGCTACCCTCAAAAACAATCAGTGTCAGTTACGGATTCATCGGCTAGGATTACACATCAAGCTTTACTTGACATCACGGTGACGAGGATCCTTCAAAGTCTTTCTGATGATGTGCATAATTAGCAGCTGAAGCTGATATCCAAGTGGGGATTTGATGGTGCTTCCAACCAAAGCCGATACAAGCAGAAAATAGAGGGTGAGCAAGATGATTCAAGCATTTTCATGACTTCATTGGTGCCTCTAAAACTGACAGATGGAGATAATACTTTATGGAATAACCCTAAACCTAAACCCTAAACCTACAGTTTACTTTTGTAAAGGAGAGCGAAGCAGTTGTCATTGATCTCAAAAGACAAATGGATTACGAAATTAACCCTTATCCCCTCAAAGTGCAGTAATGGTAACAGGGTGACTCATCAACTAATGATGACAATGATCGACGCTAAAGTCTGCACGTACCTTTCTGAAGCCAGATCAAATGCAACGTGCTACCTGTGCTTAGCAAAACCTACAGAAATGAACCGCTTAGATGCTGTAACATCAAAGATTATGTGTTCTGACATGTACGAATTTGGCTTGTCATCCCTGCACGCCCGTATAAATTGTATGGAATGTCTGTTACACATTTCGTACAGGCTCGACTTCAAAAAGTGGGCAGCGAGAAGTAATGATCACAAAGAAATGTTGCAGATAAGAAAAAAATGTATTTAAAATAAATTCAAAGATGAGCTCAATTTGTTGGTTGATATAGTGAAACAAGGCTCGGGAACTACCAATGACGTGAATACCGCTGGAAAGTTTTTCAAGTTTCCCAATAAAACTGCAGCTATTACCGGGTTAGATGAAGAGCTAATCAAAAGATTTGCTGTGATTTTACAAGCGATAACATCTGGCGAGACGATCGACTTAATCAAATTTAAAGATTTTACCCGCAAAACAGCAGAAAAGTACGTAGAATTATACGACTGGTACTACATGTCATCAACCGTACATAAATTATTAATACACGGGGCTGACATCATCGAGAAAAATGATATTGTGCCGATTGGGACTCTTTCGGAAGAAGCCTCAGAGTCTCGAAACAAAGATTTTAGGAGATTTCGGAAACATCATTCACGGAAAAGAAGCAGGCAAGATTCAAATCAAGATATCTTAAATATGCTTGTTGTTTCTTCGGATCCTTTCCTAAGTGCACAAAGGCCTAAATTAGATGCCAAGAGAAAGCAGAGATTTTTTGCTGAAACTCTCGACTTAATTCATTATCAAGAAACTGAGTTTGAGTTTATAGATATATCCAATCTGGATTCTGACGCAGAATTGGAGTCTGACAACGAGAGTGATGAGGAAAATTTGTAATATTTTTAATGATAGTTTTTCATGTTTTTCTTTGATAATTATGTTAGTTTATTGTTCCAATACGTTTAGTTAAAACATTATTTGTATAATTGTATTTATAAAGCTTAAATAATGGTTTCTGAATCTCTGTTTTAGTTAAATTATGAATAAAAAAGAATAAATAGCTGTTTTGATGATAATATTCTTAACTTAGACACTAAAAGTAACCGTTTCATATGTAAAAATAAATAAAAATATTTTGATGATTAAAAAAAAAAATCAGCAGCGATAACCGTCATTTAGAGTATGGCAAAAACTCATAAATAATTAGTACTAAAACCACCTGTGAGGATATTACGGTTTTCTCTGCCGTTTAAGAGATAATTAGATTTTTCATACTAGCTTCATACAAATTTTTCGTAAAAAAATTCTAATTCCTTCGTCTTTGTGCAGAATTAACTCGGGTATCATTTTCCTATATAGTAATAAATAATAGAAGCGATATTTGATAAAAAAACCGGCACTTGCAAATTGAAATCCCTATGTCTATGAAAGCCGATTTTCAGCCCACCGTGCGACGGGGCCATCCACATTAACAAAAAACTATACGCTCTAGATGTGTTTTGTTTTCGCTAATAGATAGCCATTTTGTATCTCTCTTTAGTCAGACAGTGACCGGCGGCTAGACTGCGCGCGTTTGATTTTTAAAAAAACGATTTTCAACGTAATTTTATGTAATTTTGAGTGACTACGAATACGCATACAAAAAGGTAAGTGTATATGTGACTACTATCATGTATTTATTTTGTTTTTGCTGATAAATTACTTATTGATATGTTTTGAACAAAAATACTCTAACCGTCACTCATTTTATTTGGTTTGTTATTTTAAATAATGTGCGAATTGGGGTATAACGGGGACATGGCTACGGGTTGCATGGGGTACCCCGTTATGCCCTGCAACCGTTGTCCCCATTATGGCCCTGTTTTGTAAATTAACTGAAGGATCGTTCTTGTTCATTTTATAATAAAAAATATTTTGTTTTAGGTATAAAAATGGTACGGACGTATAAGAATAAAAGTTCGAGGCTTAGTTGGTCCATTGAAAACATGAAAGAGGCAATTGATGCAGTCTTAAGCAAAACTGCTGGCTCACCTGTATAGTGTACCACAGACCACATTAGAGCGTCACGTCGCTAAAATAAAGAAAGGCGAGCTGTATCTTGACTCTACTCCAGGTAACTTCAAGCCCGTGTTTTCCAAACAAGAAGAAGAAGAGCTGGTAAGGTTAACATTATAGCAAGACCGGGTTAGTACCCGGTCTTGCTTCTTTTAGATGGTTATAATAATATATAATAATATATTCTACCACATACACACAACGCCATCTAGTCCCAAACTAAGCAGAGCTTGTACTATGGGTACTAGACAACTGATATAAATACATATATACTTTTTTTTTTTTGTAAATACATACATATTATACATAGAAACACCCAGACCAAATCAAACATCAAATGTTCATGCACACAAATGTTTGACTTGAGCGGGAATCGAACCCGCGACCTTTTTTACACAAACTACTACGCCATCCAGTCGTCGAATTATGTAACACATACAGACATGCAAAACATATCAGTTATTGAATATGCACGCAAAAATGGCGTTGTAATGCTTTGCTTTCCCCCGCACTGTACCCATAGGCTCCAACTTTTAGATGTTGGCTTTATGAAACCTTTAAGTGTATACTATGACCATACCTGCTCTGATTGGTTTAGGTCACACCCGGGGCGAATAATAACAACATTTCAATAAGCGGAATATTTGCAAATGCATATATTCAAGCTACAGCAATGTCTACAGCAATCAAAACCTTCCAAAAATGTGGCATATGGCCTTTCAATCACTTTTCACTGGAGGTGGCCCTGGGTCTGCCCCCACTGGTTTTTATTTTTATTTTATTTTTTCTTACAATATCTTTACAGTATTTTTCCAAGGCGATATTGTAGTTACATTAATTAAATTTAAGCTAAACTAAACTAAATTACAAACTAAAGTAACAAATTTTACTTAGTGATATAATTGTGAATTCACTCAAAGAACAACAAAATATATCCACATCGTCAGCTATGAGGTTGAGTGTGCGCAGCGCGCACGTCAAATGTGCCTCGCGCAGTAAGTTAGTGCGTGCGCGCGGCACCACCAGAAGGCGCGGTCGCCGCCGACGTCCCGCGTAGCCGTCTGGGACACACAGACCCACCCTCTCTAACACATCTGCATTATGTATTCCCCCTCTAATCACCTTAAAGATATAGGTTACGAGTGTGAGTTCCCTCCTGACCCTCAGTTCATTATATCCAACCATACCTAATATAAACAGGGTAGGATACATTAATGGATAAAAAGGATAGACTCCGTACAACTTAATGTAAATAAATCTAATAAATTTATTTTGCACCCGCTCCAACATGAGTCTGTATTTAGTCTCATGTGGAGCCCAGATAACTGCACGCCAACGTTAGGAGCCAACTGGAGTGTACTCCAGTTGGCGCCTAACTAAAGCATTATATAATGCTGTAACAGCTTTTATATTGATAAAATCTTTAGCCATACGAAGTGCCAACCCCAAGTTCCTATAAAGCTTTTTTACAGACTTTGAGTATGTGATCACGAAACGCTAGTTCAGTGGTAAAACGCACTCCCAAATCCCTCACTTCAGTTACCCTGGTCATCTCAGTCCCCTCGATCGTGTACTTGTGTTGGATAGGTGTGCGTGCACGTGAGAATGAGATAGTCACACACTTCGACACGTTGAACTGCAACCGATTCTGCTTGCTCCAACTAACGACTCTGTCTATGTCCCTCTGCAGCTTTTCACAATCTGCCAATCATTCTTCCAACAGCGAGAGACAATTTCAGGTCATCTGCAAATAACAAACACTTGGCCTCTTGTATGACACTCGGCAGATCGTTAACCATTAATAAAAACTCCAAAGGACACAAGTTACTTCCCTGACTGACGCCAGATCTAGTAAAATATGGTCGTGTTTGGTGTCCTGCATACTCCACATATTGCTGCCTGTCACTCATATAACTTGCAAAGAAGTTAAGTAGATGCGGAGTGAATCCGACGCCTGCCATCTTCTTCAGCAACATGTCATTATCGACCAAGTCGAAAGCTTTTTTGAAGTCGAAGTATGCGGCGTCGATCTGGCCCCCATTGTCCACTGTTGGTACCATTTCCATTACGTAGCTTAGAAGATTACTCGTGGTACTTCTTGCAGGTCAAAATCCGTGTTGCACGTCTGAAAGTTGTGAACGCACTTGGAGATATTTATTTTTCTGAACAACGGATTCCAGTACCTTTGCCGGTGTTGACAGTACCGCAACTGGTCTATATTCCTCTACTGTACTACCCGAACCTCCCTTCGGTACCGGTATGACCCGGGTCATCTTCCACTTTTCTGGAAACACCGCAGACGCAAGGCCAATATTAAAGATGTGCAATAGCGCCTGCGCTAGGATCTCACGACAATCCTTAAATATGCATGGTGGGAGACCATCAGGTCCCGACGACTTTTTTGGTTTCAATCGTCGAAGCGCGCACATTACGTCATCTAATTGTAGTCTGTCGAGATGAATTCGCGCCGCTCCGTTTACTGTTCCTGCCTCCACGTCGCTCTATCCACATCCAACCTGGGCTTCTCCTTGGTATAGACAGAGTAGTAATACTTAGCAAAGTCATCAGCTGCTTGTTCACACGTCAAGGCCAGTCCATCCTTTAAAATTCTTACCCTGCTCCTATTGCCTCTTTTGGAATTTTTATAATTCCAAAAAGATTTTGGGTCGCTTGCCTTGTGATTTTGTACACGCTGCCTATGTTCTTCTTGTGCCGTTTTCAGCCTATTTTTGACTAGAATTAGAATTTTCACGGATGGTTCCAAGACTAGGTCAGGAACTGGA